ATATTTGCAAAAGCCTGTACACACGCAGTAAATGCTGCGTAAGATCGAAGGCAGGATTATCAAGAAATTGTATAGTGGTCTCTGGTGTGCGTCAGGGCTGTGTACTATCGCCACTTCTTTTTATAACATACATGGATACTATATGTAGCGAAACGAACTGTAATCATGAAGAAGATATTACAGAATTGCTCTTCGCCGACGACCAAGTACTCATAGCAAAAAATACGGAATGCCTACAGAACCACATAAATAAAATTAGTAACAAAGGGGATAAATATAATATGAAAATAAACACTACCAAGACAGAGACAATGGTGACAGGAAGACATCAAGACAATTTAGAAATTAAATTAAAAAACAACACCCTGAAACAAACAGAGGAATTTAGGTATTTGGGAGCAATTTTTACATCCGACGGAAAACTGGACAGAGAAATTAGCTCCAGTTGTGACAAAGCTAATCAAGTAATGGGTCAACTAACTCCCCTGTTGACACACAAGCAGATACCTCGGAGTATTAAATTAAATCTTATCAGAACTATTTTTTGGCCAACACTATGCTATCGATGCCAGACGTGGACACATATCCTCCAATGAACGTAAAATTGTGTCAACAGAGATGAAATTCCTTAGAAGAGCTGCAGGAGTTTCAAGGAAAGACAAAATACGAAATCATGAAGTAAGACGAATGCTAGGAATAAAGCCAGTCTTACAGGTCATCAAAGAACAACAAATTAAGTGGTTTGGGCACCTAACAAGAATGCCCTGGTACTATCCACCACAGCGAGCCACACTAAAACGTTACAACAGGTATAGAGCGAGTGGAAGACATCGGAAAAGATAGTATTAAAAGCAACCTTACAGAAATGAACATCAGTGCTAATAGTGCTCTTGACAGAGCTCATTAACGAACATTACATCTCCACCCGACACTTCAATGAGGTAAAAGGTGGAAGAGAAGAAGAAGATGTCTGAATAATGAAAGGAATAGGCCCCTTTAAATAGCAATAGATACAAATTTGATAGTATATATATATATATATATATATATATATATATATATATATATATATATATATATATATATATATATATATATATATATATATATATATACATATTTAAAAAGTGATTTTAAAATACTTAAAGTTTTTAGAAATGTGTCACTAAGTGTGACCGTTCATAATTATTAGATTGTATGCAATTCTATTGTGATTTAGATTTCCTGGGAGTAAGTAAATGGCTTTTAACCCTAATGGAACGCACCCCTGTTGTTTCACATGCGTGCTTTCTAAGTAATTTTCATTAGCATGCTTAAGAAGATAGTGGCAGGATGGATTCTAAGAAAATGGTTGGAGTCGCTTAGGAAATATAATCTGATAGAAATTAGTTTCTTTTTGTGCCAGGATATCCTGGGGTAAGAGGGAATGAACGAGCAGATTGGCTTGCTGGCAGGGCCATGGTAGGTACAGGAAAAGCATTAGATCGTGCCGACTTTCTCGGTGCTCTCAAGGATGCATGACGAGAAGATGACTCAGCAGACGACCTTGAATCGGCAACACTCAACAGACTACAACAACTTCAGGTCAAAAGAAGTGTCGCCGAACATGAACACTGAACAGTTAGTAGAAGAAGAAAAGTAAACCAACACAAAATTTGTGTTATCAGTCGCCACAAGCTGAGGGTTATACTGAAGATAGGATCCGAGCGCTTAAGGACTTGTCCTTTGTGCAATGAGGATAATCTTTCGATTAACTATTAACAATTAGGGAAAGCACAACGAGCGATTTACATCAGGTCACACAAACTGCCATCATTCAGATTTGAATGACACAGGCGATACTTCTAAAAAAAAAAAAAAACATTCTAACTCTTAGTATTGATTAGGGCCTACGACGAAGGTCTCATTGAAGCTAGAGTCCATATGGGTGTGGGGGGACGAGAATTTTTAAAACACAAGTAAAAAAGGGGTCCTTTTTGTTTTAGGACAAGTTAAAGAAACCATTTGGAAACATACTTGTGATTATTATGCTTGTATTATTCCTGTTTCAAATCTGTTCATACATTTTGCAAATGTAAGTATTTCATCTTCTGTTTCTATCTGAAAACGAGATAAATATATTTGATATTTTTAATTGCTAAATTATTTGTCTCTTTTTAAAGCATTCATAAACAAATTTCATTTTGCTTCAAGGACTTTATTATTATTTTTGTTTTTCTAAGTATTAGTTGTTATCATTCCAAAATCGACCCAGCCGGTATAAACGTTAGTATCTCTTGATTGCCTTACTTATCCTAGGGAAGAAAACATTCAATAGAACGCATGCCAGGACAGAACCCACACATACCGGTCTCACAAAGCGCTCCAGAGTAGCCAGGCTTACATCCCATGAGACAGGCACCAGTGATGTGGTTACACGATGACATGCTAGAGTTGTCTGGTTGCACACAAGTCAAGCTGCACGTCTGATTGCAGTCCTGGCCAAACGTTCCAACACATTCTGAAATGTGGCAAGCTATGTACCTCACCAGCTCAGACATTTCATAAATTTAACATAGACACTAAACCTCATATCATAACCCTTATCATCATCATCATCATCATCATCATCACCATTCTGCTATACATGCTCTAAACACAATACATTGGACATTGTTTGATAGGTCACTAGTTGCCCTTTGTCCACGTTCTGGACTCAGGAAACATAATCACTTAATCGACCACTTACCCCCTCCCCACCCCCCGTTTTGCACCCCATTCCACCCCCCCCCCCCCACCCCCATGGAAAAAAGGGAGGGAAGGTTATTTTAAATTATTCCCAAAGTAATGAAATCTCAGAGTTCCCAGAGATGTCCTATATACTGGGTGCGTTATGGGTTGGATTAGGGCCTGAGTAAGAGTTAGGATCCTTGTCAGTCCTGACCGCCTCAGAGACACCGACTAACTTCGACCCATAACCAAAACCTCAGCCATAAACCCTAAGCCACCTTTTGAGTATGAAACTTTTTTTGGAAACTCTGGGATTTCCTTTGTTTAGGGTGAAGTCGCTGGCCTTGTGTTGACAAGGATACAATTTAGCAGAGGACCTCGGCGACACCTTCGGCAGAAAATTTCTTGAGACAGGAAAGCTGGCGAGGGCAGTTTTTTTTTTTTTTTTTTTTATAAAGGCGGTGATGGGAAGATTTTTCTTTAAGGAGTTGTGTGCAGGACTACGATGATGACATTTTATTGAAAAAAAAGACAATATTCCCTCCATTTTGCATCTGTTTTTTTTTTCTGTTCACAATCTACTTCTGATACCTTCTCATGCCTGACAATTATTCATGCAGCAACCTTGCGGTTAATCTTGTGATAATACCTACATGGCGTGTCAAAGCAGGCAGCATCACTGTGCAGATTTCTGTGCTTCCGGCTTTGTCTTTCTGCACATTAAAATCTTAGATAGTTTTTGGTGAAACAAGGTCTTATTTACTGATCGCCTGGGTGTGTTGGATGTTTAGCATCAGTTGCTTCTGTTCACCAGTTGCCTACAGAATCGAAGCTAGGTCGTATTGTATAGTGCGTTTTAAAAGTCGTGTTCACACACTTTAACAAAATTACGAAAACTGCTGTGTGGATCAACAAAACATGTCTTCGAGTGATCCTAGATTTCCCATATCCTTTTGGTTTTATAATTTACAGTTGTACATATGTTGCTGATACATCAAGGTGGCGAATATCTGTGATCTTCGTAATAATTTGAGTACCGTTAAAAATGTGAATATACATTACCCGTGGACATGCTTTTTAAAAAAAAGTATAGCTTAGGGTGGCGATTATTTTGATAGCATATCCCTCATACGATGAAATATTGTGATCATGTGACTCACGGGAGGCTAATTCCGGAGATGAACAACTGAGAGCGAAACGCCATTAAAACGCTTACAATTTTTTTTTTTTTTGGGAAAGTTTGTTTTACTCATTTAAGTACAAGCATGCCGACTGTTTGTTTCGAATGACCGCATCTTTTTGCTAAAGTATTTATTTTATGATGCAGAAAAAGGTACATCACTGTGAGAATCTTAAAATACAGACGGAATTTGTATCCATTTAATGCGAACCTTGTCCTGGTGTTAACAAAGCAAAACCTAAATAACTTTTAGTAAAGCACAATTCAAGAAGGAAGGACAACACGCCACATACCGTTTTCACAAAACGCTCCAGTGAGGCCAATTTTACAGCCATGGAGACAGGAACCAGTGACGTGGTTACATGATGTTATAGCAGAGTTGTCGGGTTTCTTACAGTTCGAGCTGCACGTCTGACTGCAGCCCTTACCAAACTGTCCCGGACTACATTCTGAAATCATGAAAGGTAAATAGCAGCAAGACTTCAGAACACATTTCTTGTCATGTTACACTGACATTTATAACCATCAACCTTACCTGTACTACAGGGACGTCGACACAAAGAATGTTGCGAAGTCTCTAAGAGAGATGAAAAGATCACCCGTGTGCTTTTTGAAGCGCTGTCTCAGTAGATTTTCATTTCACTATTTGTTATTCTTTACTTTTCGTTGCCATCGTTGTATCTTTCTAGGCTCTGATGTTATTATTTTTCATCAGCGTGGCTTTTATTTGTAGTTGGAGTCAGGTAATTTGGCCAGGTGATGATACACGTTCATCTCTTGATCATTAAAACAGAATAGAGTGAAATTAACAGGCTTCATAGTGTAGACAACAGGACCTGGAGGTCTCAGTGCTGATGGCAGACTAACAGAACTAGCCCACTAGACCTTTCAAGTTTCAGGAAAGTTTTAAAAAGAGCACCAGTAATGGCCACACCTTCCCGGTGTAACCTGTATCCTGGGTATTACGGTTAAGATGATCAAGTGCAACAGACTTTCTCACTCATGTCTTGCCCACATCATACCATCGTGTCTCGATCAAGAGTCCACTCTTCAATTAAATACATAATTTTTTTTTTGGGACGAACACTCCGACGCCTTGGTCACGACTTACCCGTCAAACATCGCAGTCCGACGTAGCCCGGGGGACATCCAATAGGACACAAACCGGTGCTTGCAACACAGGGCAACTTGTCGGGACATTGACAACTCAGCTCGCAATCACGTCCATAGTGCTCATTGTCACACAGGCTATCTGCAAAAAAGATGGAGGGCTGAAGGGTCACAACGTGAGGCAGATTGTGGGACACCGGGATACATAAAATAGTGAGGTTACAAACAAATATGTGATAGTTTTAGAGAGGTAGCCAGAGAAAATGAGAGAGAGAGAGAGAGAGAGAGAGAGAGAGAGAGATAGGGGAGAGTGACCGAACACAGATTATGTGTAATGAAAAAGAAGGTGACAGAGAGTGAGAAAGAATGGGACAGAACACAAGATATGCAGATACACTTAACAGTATCGTCCTTTTGCAGTAATTATTTAGAAAAAAAAAAGGGCGGAAGGGAGAAAGCTTCTCAAGACTTGCAACGAACATGTAACACACTATCAAAAAGCATGTCATACTGAGGGCCCCTGAATGCCATATCTCTGTGATTATCTGTGTGTCGTCATGAGGGCATAAGACGACAACGTGTTGAAGTCACTTAATTTTAACAAAAAAGTTATTGCAGGATACCTTCTCCTTCATGCAGGCTTTAGCTGTGCTTGCAAAGAGCCGCCAGTTTGATGTGGCAATATTATAGTTTGTTCTCAAAATGTGCATGCAACAATATACAACGCAAGAACACCGCCCCAAAACCAATGACAGTAACAACAACTATTAAAACTTTGCACAAGGGGGAAGAAAACGTGGCCTGAACTTGTGCAACCAGCAGAGGCGACGGCAGAAATGCTGCAAAACACTCTGCCGCTGGACGGTGATGGAGGGTACAGTTTCCCAGGCAGCGGCCGACCTCCAAGATTATTGACACAGGACTCCTTGTGTGGGTTCCGAAGTCCTACTGAGGGTAAAACAAGAATAGACCCACTATCTCCCCAACAAGCATGTCGTAGCAGTCGACTACTCTGAACATTCTTCGAAGTCAGAGTACATTTGTCTGATCATCAAGAAAAAATCCAATTGCACAAAGATAAGCCAGTGTTATCCCAGGCCCTGGCACAAAGCCAAAATTCAAATGAATGAACAATCATGACATCCCGCCGGAGCTTACAGCTGGTGAACAAAGAAGAAGAAGACAGGATATAGGACATGGCAGATTCATCGGCCACAGGAGCACATGAAGCTGATGAATTATACCCTTAACTTTTAAGACCTAATTAAGTTCGTTACGAGTGAACTAATAACTATAAAAGTCTAATCTCACTTAATGAAATAAATTGTTAAGTGCATAACTCATCAACATGTGCGATGCCGATAAGCAATCTTCTGTTATCACCAGAATCATTAAATTGGTCAGTGTTCTTGTACTGACCCACCGCGTAGGTAGACCTTCTAGGTTGTTATCTCATCGTCGTCTTCTTAGCTTTCACTTCCTGGCAGAGCCAGGTCTATAAAAATTTAGGTCTAGCTCTGTATGCACTATACCCTAAAGGAGTGGAAAAGGGACTTTTACTGTTCACTTCTCGGCCTTTATAGAGATGGACAGAGACAGTCATGCGTTTATTGTCACGGAAAAAGATTCATTATAAAATACATTATGCAAGGCAATCTTATATTTCAAAAACTCAAACAAGTGTTTGAAACGAGCATATGGAATGTGCTGCGTGCTGATTCGTGTGAGTTGTAACATTGAGGTAGGACAACGTGATGAGAATAATGTTTTCCGAGAGTCCACGAGAATGTCCAGTTACCAGTCTCAATGTTTGGCCCAGTGTTGACTTAGTCCAGGAAATATCTGTCGGTTGTGTTAATATTGTGGAAAGTGAGAAGTGTCTTGGCACGGGATGGACCCGAGAGGACCTAGGTAATAGCGGCGTGGACTAACTAGCATGACTACAAGAAAGCCGCTGATGCACGAAAGAAGGAATGATGCGTGCAAACGTGCTTCTCGTGTGGCACGAGCCTCCCGCAAGGGACAGGTAAGGGTATATACTCGGAGTGAAGGGACCGCAGTAGATAGACAGACAGAGTACCTTAGGAAGAGTCAAACAGTGAGGTCTTAGAGCCAAGAGTCTTGGTCGCGGTGCAGTCGAAGGGAGAGAGTCCAGTTGGCGGAATAAGGCCACGAGGATTGGACACTCAAAAGTAGCTGTTTTGGGTGACGACGCAGGGTGGCGTAGGCTCACTAGTGGAACAAGACAGCGGGGATGCCGGCAGGAGATGTGTGCTTAAGGGGTCTCACAGCCTGGGATCCTGCCTGTCATCAGAGTCCTTCTACGAGGCTGATGTGCTGTGTGCACATGCTGGTGAACGAGTGTTGTGAGTCAGTTTCCAGTCAGCCATTTTGTCTGCTTAGTGTAGAGCAGAGGTCTAGTTGAGATTACCTGTTCATCTGTACAACGAGACGCTGTAGACCTACGAACTGTATCGGTCAGCTCGTGTGTAGTGGCGGTGGGAGCTGTCACAAACCGCTCGTGTCGCGTATTTGTTTTAAGAATGTCTCCTTACGAACCAACAGCACAATGAAATTGAGTAATGTTGATGTGTCGCCTCGTATTGGTCTAAAGGGTATCCAGTGGCCAATATACACCCAACCTTTTTCAGGAGCAGGGCAACTCAAGCTATGGCACTAAAGAATATATAATATTTCTAGGCGCAACTTGGAAGTCCCCACTACTATAAGGAAAATAAAGCTCCCGGGCTATGATATTGTAATATCACAGGCATGTTAACACAGATCAGGATTAATGGTTAAACGTACAAATACTCTAGACAGGGAATGATGGACACTCAATGCAATAATGAAACTTCTAAAGACATGTAAGAAATGCAACACATATATATATATATCATTAGGACTCAAGCAAAGATATTCAAGAGCAACTGGAATAATGAGATCAAAACCAAAGCAATACTGCTGGATTAGCCAGAGACCCTTCGGGACAGTCTGTGATCATCATGGTGACTCAGAGGGGACCTGTAAATAGAGCACTAGGCATCACACTTACAGAGTCGGGTTACTTATCTAATCCTTGGGTCGCGTCACTGAACTCATCGGTTCATGACAATCTGAACAGGCTGATTTGGGAGTTGCTGTCGTGAAGTGAGCAGCCGACTCTACACAATGGACGAGTCGTGAATCTGACTTCCCTAGGCGGACAGTCAAATTTCAAACTTAAACCCGCCCGGAAGGGTAAATAGTCCCTTATATTGATATATACCTTTATCTGGTAATATATTCATTTCTAGACCATCTAGTTGCTTTGATAAATCTTCATTTTCAAACTTGCAACTGAAGGTTGAAGATTTCTGATATTTAATTCAGAAATTCCTGTAAGCCGGTTTACTCCTTAGGCATAAATACAGGGAACTTCGTTCCTAGAGACGCTAAGTTTGGTTTTGAGAAGACATTCTTTCGCCTGATTCCTAAGTGTCAAGACGTGTATACAGTCTGTGTAGAAATTGGCGCATTCAAAGTTCCAGTTCTATCTTGGAGGAATTCCTAAGCTTGGGTAAGTTGATTATAGTTTACGAGTACCATAATATATGTCTGTTTAAAAGTGGCCACTGCTGCAGAGAGGGAATATTCAGCTGTGTGATCGCACAGAATTAGGTCGTTGTTGATGTCCAGAGATCAGGCTCGGAACATTAAACCTTTCCCTGTGAATACTAATTAGTTTGTGCTCTACCTAATCCACATCATTTGTAAAGATATTAAAATCTACAAGTAATTATTCTCTGACTAGACAAACGTAGTTTTGTACCGCCTGGCAGAAATATGGAATCTGGGTCATCTTTTAAAGTAACTGCGTGCCGTCAGAGCTAGACGCTCTGAGTCGAAAGTGTGTTTGACACAGATTCAGTGGGTGTGTAGTGAGCAGCCTGTGGAGACGTGAAATTTATATAGGTACTAACTGTGTACCTTGTATGTCTGCGAGTGAAGATGGGAGGGTGGAGAGAGGATTAACTATGTGGTAGTGTTTATCTATCTCCATTATATACCTTGTTTTATATCTGTTGCACTAATTTACAGAGTAATGAAAGGGGACACAGTCTCCTGTTCTTGAAAGTATACTCTGAGTGACAAGAAGGGTAGCAGAAGATAAGTTGAGCTGGTGTGTGCATCTTAAGATGATTACTAATTCTGTTTTCCCCCTGATAGGATGAAATCTCCTTAGAAGTCAGGCTGACGAATCACAGTCCAGAACCAGCAATCACCAACCTATTACCAACAATCACCATACCATACCAGTCCTATCACAAATCCCACCCAAAAACCCGACCTATTGTTGGCAGAACATCAACATGGCAGGAGTTTGTGTGTGAGTTCCAGTGGCTGAATGAAAGTTTTGCAGGCCTCCTTTGTCATCAACCCGAAAAATCCTTCTTCAGGAACTTGTGTGTGAGTTCCAGTGGCTGAAAGACAGTTTTGCAGGCCACCTGTGTTATTAGTCCAAGGGAGTCTTCCTCGGCAGCTGTGTTGGGCTCCATTGAAGTTCCTTTGTCCTCATCTGTAGGACGATCAGTCAGTGCCGAATCAACCAGAGAGAAACGCCATCTATTGAGTCAGCCGATTCAAGTCACCATGGACTGAGGGGAGCAGAGACATACCAGTTGGGATAAGTACATAAAGGATGTCCTACATGCTCTCTATCCATGCTCACCCTTAGCTCACCATGATGAACTGTATGCTTGTATAGAACGAACTCTGGCTGTTTCGACATCATTGCTGTGACATTAAGTCATGAACTCCTTTCACTGAAACCTATCTTTAATGTCTTGATATATATATATATATATATATATATATATATATATATATATATATATATATATATATATATATATATATATATATACTGAACGTATTACATGCATTCTAAGAAAATTTCATGGCTGACTTGGGTGTCCCTGTTTCACCATTCTAACTATCTGGTTTCATGTTGTCTGCTTA